TAAATTCTTCTGTGTCTGCCAATTCCTTTTGGTACAGTGACTCAGTATATTCTTTCCATCTTCTTTTAATACTTCCGGGATCATTTAACGTTCTGCCGAAAGCATCCTTGCTTATAGCAACTCGAGGTTTGAATTTGTTCTTCAGTTCCTTGAGCTTAAGAAATGCTGAGTGACTTCGGCCCTTTTGATTTTCTGACTCCAGCTCCTTGCACATTTCTTTTTAATATTTTACTTTTTCATCCCTTGCTGCCTTTTGAAATCTTCTATTCAACTCTTTAGTATTTTGAATGCTTCCTTGTGCTTTGGCTTCTCTGTGTGCCAGTGCAGTTTTCAGAGTCTCTTCTGAGTTGGACAATGGCCAAGGAGGATAGAAGGAGAATTGATGCCTTCGAGCTGTGCTGCTGGAGAAGAGTATTGAGGGTACCATGTACTGCTATGAAAACAAACAGATTCATCCTGGAAAGGGTTAAACCAGGTGGCTCCTTGGAGGCAAGGATTCTGAGGCTCCGTCTAACATACTTTGGACAAGTTGTAAGGAGGAACCGGTCCTTGGAGAAGGACATCATTCTTGGGAGGGTGGAGGGACAGCGCAGGAGGAGGGGAAGACCCTCTATGAGGTAGCTTTACTCAATGACTGGGATAATCAGGATGGGATTGCCAGAGACAGTGCGATTGGCACAGGACAGAGCAGAGTTTAGGGCTGTTGTACATGGGGTCACTAGGAGTCGCAAGCGACTCGACGGCACATAACAACAACAACAACAATATCACTTTGAGGACTAAAGATTAACTTATACCTGACCCAACCCGTGGTATTTTCCACCACCCCATGTTGTTTTTGTTTGGTGCCACAAAGTCAATTACAATTAGTATCGACCCTCTGAACAAAAGATCTGAAACTTGCCCTACGCTGTGCCAGCCTCATCATCTTTGATTTGCTCAAGTTCATCATATAATCACTTTGTCAATAGATCTAACTAAGGATCTTATCTTGGTTTTACAGACCCCCCCCCTTTCCAAGCATGATGTCCTTTCCAAGGACTGGCTGCTCCTGATAGCACACCCAAAAGATAGACACTGATGAAGGAAGATCAAAGAAAAATAGATACATTAAATTATGACACTGGCAAAAAATCTGGAATATAACATGGAGTGCCAGAAGAGCTAATGAACATGTCTTAGAAGGAGTACAGTTTGAAGGCTCTTCAGAAGCAAGGATGCGGACACTGTTTGTCTCATATACTCTGGACATGTGATCCAGAGGGGCCAGTCCTTGGAGAAGGACCTCATGCTTTATAAAGTAGAGGGCCAGGACAAACCAAAGAGAAGAAGACCTTCAATTATATGGCTTGAGATGAGAACTGCAATCATGGGCTCAAGCACAGTAATGCCTGTGAGGGTGACACAAAACCACACACCATTTCATTCTATCATGCACAGGGTCTCTATGAATCCAAATCAATCCAAGGACATCTATTAACAACAGCACTTATAACATTACCTGAGAAATGAATGGTCACTTAGATTAACTATTGTAATTCCCTTATATCTAGCTCTTCACTCCTGTTTTGAAGCTAGATGAGTTATTATTAAATAGAATTCTACTGCTGTTGAGTCAATTCTTTCTTGTAGCAATCCTCCATCAGGTATCTGAGGCTGTAAATCTTTACAAGAAAAGACTCCTTATCTTTCTCTAATGACTAGTAAGCTGATACATTAGGTACTACACTACCAAGACTCTAAATTAGATATAACACTTCTTGATTGGTATCATGGTGACAGCCTTTATAGACCCTTTAAGAATTAAGGTCTCTGGTCCTTCCCCTTCTGTGAAAAATCTCACCAACAGCTTCTCTGGCCCAAGTGGTATTTATGGCTATATTCAAACTGCAATTCAAGCTCAATGGTTTAGTTTTTCAGAGATAATGAGAGAGAGGTCTCCCTCAATAGCCTAGGCTGACTACCCTTGCTCCAGCATCCATAGCAAAGGAAAAGAGAGGAAGATTATGCATAAAATAAGACCTTATATAAAAGTAAACCATTTCTTCCTCAATTACATTCATCTTTATCTTCCTATTTTTATCCTATGCCTACATAGTGGTGGTGGTGTTGTGTTCCATGGAGTCAGAATTGACCTAGAGCTGACCCACCAGTGGGTCTTCAGAGGCAGTAAGTGGTATGGGAAGAGACTGTACATCTTTATCCCGAGGAGCAGCTGGTGGACTTGAACCACATGCCTTTGGGTAGGTAGCCTTGCTCCTTACCACTAGGCCATCAGAGCTCCCATGCACACATAAACCATGAGCAAAGTAGAACATTTATGGCACCTTTCTCTCCTCTCTCTCTCCTTTCTCCAGTCAGTTCAACTTAACTCTCACCTAGAATTTTGAGCAGTCTCAGCAGAAAGGGAAACCAGATGAAAAAACAGAGCTATCTCCCCTGACCATAAACTGTACCCAGCTCACTGTACCTGGGGCTGTCCTGGGAGCACCAGAAGCATCAGCAGTAGGTTGGTCAAAGGAGTTGAAGTAAGCTGCATCTTGTATCAGCTGCAGGAGTGCAGTGAATTCTTGAGTTTCTCTGGTGCTTTTATCCTAATTCCAGTGAAAAGAATTAACAAGGTGGGTCAGGTTGTGGCATTGGGAAGGGCTGAGGGCCTAAGAGGTCAAAGAAAGGGCGTGATATGGGGAAGGAGGGTTGTGAAAGATCTGGGCTTTGAAAGGGCAAGGCAAAGGAGTTTCTCTTCGTACTAACAGGGACTTTCTCAACCATCTTCCAGTTATGTTCTGCCCCTACCCATCTGGGTCCTCTTGTCCAAACAGATTAAAGAAAAACGAGACATCTTGTGGGGCTTTGAATTAGGTATCTTCTAAAAGGGATTAGAGTCTTTCTCTTAACACCAGGGAAGAAGACACTTTAAGGAAAATATAACCCTATTTACTCAGTATCAAAAAGAGAAGCCAGTTACTTATTCTTTGGGTGAAGGCCAACGATTACATCTAAGCTATTGCTTTGATAACACCACACTGATAATGCTGGCTTGTGTGTCAGAGACAGTAAGATTGGCACAGGACAGAGTAGGGTTTACGACTGTTGTACATAAGGTCTCTATGAGTCGCAGGTGACTCAACAGCACATAACAACCATGTTGTGTTATATATCCTTACTTGACTCTAGCAATTTTTACCTTCCCTATTGTCCCAAACACTCAAAATCTTCATCCCATCCCACAAGAGCAATGCTTCCCCTATTCACTCCACTGCCTATCCTCTAAGAAAGCCCTCTACCAATATCTTCCAACCAGCCACACGTGGGAATTAACCCTCCAGTTTCCTACCCTAGTTTAGAAATATGTGCAGAGAGATAAGATTTTAGTTCCTGAGTCCTAGATAAGGAACCACATTTTCTTCATATGCTTGTCCAGAACTGCTAATAGTGGACATCTGAACAGCAATCTCTTCTTCTTCCATCAATCATGAGAACCTTTCAGTCAGAGCAAAGTTTCAAATTCAACCAAGTGTCTAGGAAGATGGGAAGTTTTCTGGTAAGAACAAGTTTATATTGTTTTTCTTGAGATTTTTGGCTTCTGAAGTTTTGTAAACCATTTATCTTATTATATCCTTACATATTACTGAAACACCAGCTGCAAAAATTATAACACTACTACTGATTTCATTCTTTAAAATAATTAGCTTAATATATAACTAGTAGAGAATGACATATGAAGTCCACAATTCACATTCCAGGAGGAAATGCTAAGAGTTTAGCTGAACTCATGAAGCTAAGAAGACAGGCTAGGGATTTCTTGACAATCATAATGGAGTCACAAGGCAGTGAAACCAATTAACACAGGCTAATACACACACACACAAAAACAAAACAAAACAAAACAAAAACCCAACAAAGAAAACTATGTCAACTATGTCCTTTTATTGGATCAACCACAATTAATGCCTATGGTAATAGCAGTCAAGAAATCGAAAAAGGCCCTGCCCTGTCCAGTGAAGTCTCATACTTGGATGCACACCAGCTTCCCAAGAAGCTTGCAACCTTGACCCCACACTTGGCAACTGTAGCCACCTCTACACTCGACTCTGCTCTGGGACCGAGAGCCACAGGTCCTTGGGCCAAAGGGACAACACCAACACTCAGGATCTAGGCAAGACATCGCCCTCCCCAGGGAAATCATCCTGTTGTGCCAGGTGTGTGCCTTAACTGGAAAGCTCTAACAAATAGCATCCATAGGAATATAGACCTGGGTCAAAATGTCAGAGAGAGTAGTGAAGAGAGTTAGGGAATCAGGCGATACCACTCTGCAGATCAAGCCGGACTATGGCCTTCAGAAGAGAGAACTGAAATCGGAAAGCAACAAGCAACACCAGAGAAATTAAATGCAGAATAAGAGAGGCAGGAATAAAAGCAGTTGCCCCCATGCCACCCCACATCCAGCAAAATTTGTCACAGAACCAGAGAGGAAGGCCCACAGGAAGGGTAAGTTGCCCTTCCACTCCCTACTGGAGTGCTGAACTTCCCAACTGAAGCAAATCCTCTTGTAAGCCCAGGAACCTGAGATAAATTCAAGCAGGGTGAGTTACCCTTCCCTTTTTCTGAAGCAGCAGGCTCCTCAAACAAATTAGTCAGACCAATATCCTACCAGGCAAGAAAAACTCTATCACAGTAATGTCATGGAAGAAACAGACTACCTTAAAGTCTATACAACACCAAAACAAGATTGATTTCACCTCCAAAAAAGTAACAAAAATACAAGGGAGCTTTGGTGGCCTAATGGCAAGAAGCTGCATTGCAATCCTAGAGGTATGTCGTTCAAAATTCACCAGATACTCTGCTGGAGAAGGAAGGGCAATCTCCTCCTATACCAGTCAGATCTGATTTGAGTGTACACACATGAAAAATAAAATTTAAAAAAATTAAAAATTAATAAAAATATAGAATCAATGGATTTCCTGAAGCTGGAAAGTCTGATGGAACTTTCTGATACAGAATTCAAAAGTATAACAATCAAACATTTTCACTGGGTGAAAGAAAAACTCAAAGAATTGCAGGTTTCTACAAACAAAAGCCAAAAGGAACTTAAAAAATCAATTCAAAATAATATATATATTTTTTTAATGTGGTATTAGAAAGCATAGGGAAGGGGAGCTCTGGTGGCCTAGTGGCAAGAAGCTGCAACTACAATCCCAGAGGTGCACGGTTTGAATCCACCAGATGCTCTGCCGGGGAAGGAGGGGCAATCTCCTCCTGTACCAGTCAGATCTGATTTGACGGTACACGCACACAAAAATAATAATTAAAAAAAAAAAAGAAAGAAAGCATAGGGAAGTGGTTCAAATCCACCAAATGCTTTGCTGGAGAAGGAGGGGCAATCTCCTCCTGGGCCAGTTGAATCTGATTTGACTATATACAACAAGAAAAGGAAGGAAGGAAAGGAATCACAGAAAAACAAGAAACTGCAGCCCAGAATATTAAAACCAGCATCTCAGAATCTGTCAACATGTTGGAAGGACAAATAAGCAGTATTGGGAGGGGAGGGTAGAGGAGGGGAATGGAGCACAGAATCAGTGAAATAGAAGACAGATCTCTCAGCACTGATCTAATAAAACAAAAACAGAATAAAAAATGAAGAAAGCCTTAGAATAAAGTGGAACACAATTCAGAGGGGAAAATGGGCACATTATTGGAATCTCAGAAAAAAAAAGAAGCAAACAAAAGGCACTGAGAAAGTTGTGGAAGAGACACTAGAAGAAAAATTTCCAGGAATAATGAAGAATGAGAGAATATACATACAAGAAGCTGAGCAAAATTTATGTAGAACAAACCCCCCCAAAAAATCCCACCAAGACCTATCATAGTCAGAATCATATTTACCAGAATCAAAGACAAGAAGAAATTTCTAAAAGCATTTAGAGAAAAATGGAGAGTGATTTCTAAAGGAGAGTAAATAAGAGTAAATGCACACCCATGTTTATCATGGCTTTGTTCACAATAGCAAAGAACTGGAAACAACCTAAGTGTCCATTAACAAAAGAATGGATAGAGAAGTTGTGGTATGTTCACACATGGAATACTACACTGCATTGGAAAAACAAGGAACTCATGAAATATATTCAAAATGGGTGACCCTGGAAGACATTATTCTGAGTGAAATATCTCAGTCACAAAAGGACAAATATTGCATAGTGCCACTGTTGTAAAATGGGACTGACATCGGGGTTAGGGGGAGACTGAGAAAGATGGGATAAATTATGTATACCACATTGAAACAGGTGAGGGAAAGAACTGTTTAAAAGGTATATGTGATTAGGTATTATTGTCATGACTAGAGTCCAGAACAAAGGCTGCATAGTGGAGTGGACTTGGGGGGAGGGATTGTATAACAATGAAGGAATTTTTCCTTTATTTTTCAAAATAAAGGCTGCATAGTGGAATGACTTAGTGGGAAGGATTGTATAACAATGAAATAATTTTACTTTTCAAAGAGCAAACTAGGGGGAGGTTGGGTGGGGAGAAAAGTGCAACAATGAATGAATGAAAGTCCAAAGTCCAAGGAGACAAAATTAGTGAAGTGGAGAATTGACAATCTCTTCAATAAATGGTGTTGGAAAAAATTGGAAAACCATCTGCAGAAAATTTAAGCAAGACCCACACCTCACATCATACAAAAAAAACCAATGCAAGGTAGATCAGCAACACAGAAGTAGAAAAAAAGACTATAAAATTAATCAGAGAAAAGCTAGGAACAACTCTAGAATCCCTAACCCACAGCAAGAGCAGTCTTTTAAGCATAATGAAAAACCTACAACCAAGAAAGAATAAAATAGATTAATGGGAGTTTCTAAGAATCAAATCCCTATGCACATTAAAAAAAAAAAAAAAAACCAAACCCAAACTTCTCAAATAGGGTAAAAAGAGAAATTGAAAACTTGCAAAAAAATATTTAGCAATCATATATTTGATAAGGGACCCATGTCTAAAATTTATAGAATACTCCAGCACCTCAAGAAAAAGGTAAACAACTCAGTCACAAAATGGGCACAAGGCAAGAATAGACACTTCATGAAAGAAAACATTTAGATGACACACACATGAAGAAATGTTCAAAATCCCTATCACAAAGATTCAAATCAAAACAACTACGACATATTTGAGATATCAGATACCAGTAATAATAGAAAAGTTCAACAGGAAACAACAAATGCTGGCAAGATTGTGGAAAGATTGGAACTCTTATTCACTGCAGGTGGGAATATAAAATGGTATGGCCACTATGGAAAGTGGTCTGCTGCTTTCTCATAAAGTTGGTGATAGAAATCCATTTGACCCAGCAATTGCACTACTAGGAATATACCCTAAAGAAACCAGAGCCATGACTCAAATAGATGTGTACATGTCCACGTTTATTGCTGTGCTGTCCACAATAGCAGGGATGGAAGCAACCCAAGTGCCCATCTACAAATGAATGGATAGAAAAACTTTGGTACATTCCCACATTGGAATATTAAGCAGCATTGAAAAAATGATGATTTAGAAAAACACTATACAACATGGGGGATCCTGAAAGATACTATGCTTAGTGAAATATCCCAGTCACAAAAGGAAAAACAGAGCTGATATAAAACAGGACAGGGACAGGAGGGCTCGGGAGAGAATGAAGGGGAAAGAGTAGATAGATAATAAATATTGCACTAGAACAGACGAGGGGGGGGAAACTGCCCAGAAAAAAAAATATGACTAGGCATTGTATGTCTGACAACAATCTGGAACAAGGGGTGTACTATGAGGTGGGCTGGGGAGGAGGAGGAAGAAAATGTTCAGGGATGAAAAAAATAATAAATATTATTTTAATAAATCAAAATATATGTTGCATTGGGAAAATATTCTGTATAGGACTTCTCCAAAGAGCTAAGAGCAATGATATAAAGACTAAGATGTGTCAGCCAAACCATGGTATTTTCAATTGCTTCCTGTGCAAATGAAAATTGAACAGAGTGTAAGGATGACAGAAGAACAACAAACACCTTTTAATTGTGGTATTGTAGAGTAATACTTAATCCCATGGACTATCAAAGGAACAAATCTATTTTAGATAACATGCAACCAGAGTGCCCCTTAAGACAAAGATGGTGGAACTTTTCCTGACATATTTCACACATGTTGTTGGGAGGGAACAGTTCTTGAAAAAAGACATCATGGTGAGAAAGGTGGAAGGAAGGAAGGAAGGTTTTCAAGATGGTTATAAGCACAGTGATAGGAACAATGGGCTGAAATATATGAGAGATTGTGAAGCTGACTCAAGATAGAGCAAGGTTCAGATCTGTTGTTCATAGAATTGCTAAGTTGTAGTTGATTCAATGGCATCTAACAATAGCTACTATTCCCCAAAACAGTGTTGGTTTACATCTTCCCAGAAATACTTCAAAAGCAAATCAGCAGTTATACCCCTATGGAGCACAGTTTTCCTCTGGAACATTGGGTTGCCCTGAGTCAAAGTAATCTTCAAAGGTAACTGGTTTTCAAACTCGAACCTTTATATTACTTTGTAGATCCTTACATCTGTTCCTGCCCTGGGTTGGATCCATTCTCCATGACCTCATGGGACCTGGCTCTGCTGACATCCAGAGCAAAATCAGAGGTCAGGGAGGTATGAGAAGAGTGAGCTGGGAAAACTCCCCGAGTCAATATCCAGAGGAGTGTCACTCTAACACTTTGTAGAGGCAGGAGACGGGAGAATGAAAGGTGGGAGGTGAGTTAGAGCACAAGGTATGATGAGTGACATGGGAATTATTCATATAATTTTCATATTGCTCTAACGGCAACTGCCTCAGGGCACTGGTTGATAAAGCAGAAACCTCAGCATCTGAGTAAGTGAAGAAACAATGTAAAGGATCACAGTATTATCTGTTTCAATCCATCTCACAGCCAACAAACATCCCAACATCCAAGTACTAATCATCCAGGTCAGAAACCAGATCAGTTTCCATAACACGACAAAACAGAGCCACGTCTTTTATGTTCACATTGTGCTATTTGCTCACTTCTCCCCAGTCCCGACCTCTATCTTCAGCCCTTTAGCAAACATGATGGTCCTGCTCTATGTCAGACAATGTCCACAGGCCCCTCAGAGCCATCTTCCCATCATGAACCTGGCTCTGGATTTGTCAAACAGTGGAGGAAGGCAAGCTTTGGATGTCTAGCAGGTCGACAATAATCTCCTCGTCTGTCACTGTTGAGGTCAAATCTCTTCCACGTGTGTGTAATAAACCTACGGAGGTCAGCACAGAGTTAGAAAAAGTAGGAATAGACTGGGAACAGTCGACTCAGGCAGGCACTCTTTCCTGTAGTAGGAACAATGTCACTGCTGAGTGTGAAGCCACCGAGAGATGCATGATGGAGAGATCTCGGGCAGAGCTCTGCCCAAATATGTTTTGCAGTCTAGCTTGGCCATCTGAAGGCAGAGAGCAGAGAACGTTATGTATTCATTTATTCCTGTGTGGAGGCTCACTCAGGACCCACATTCCTCGTTGACCTTGACCAGCAGAGTCTGAGCAGGTGCCTGAGCCGCTGAGTGATCTGCTGGGTTCGCACACCATACACCACAGGATTGAGGGCTGGGGGGACCACCACATAGAGGTTAGCCAGGAGGATGTGAACATGACCAGGGACTGTGTGGTGGCCAAAGCGGTGGGCCAAGAAGGAGAAGAGGGCAGGTGTATAGAAGAGGATGATGACACTAGCATGAGCCACGCAGGTGCCCAGGACCTTGCGGCGGGCACCATGGGAAGGTAGCTGGCACACAGAACGGAGAATAAGGGCGTAGGAAGCACCTATGAGGCCAAGATCTAGGACTGGGGAAAGCAGTGTGGTGGCCAGGCCATACCAGATGTTGGGACGAGTGTCTCCACATGCCAGCCGAGCCACGCCCATGTGCTCACAGTAAGTGTGTGGCAGTGCCCGTCGTCCACAGTAAGGCAGTCTTTGGAGAAGGGCCACAGGGGGTGCCATGACACAAGCACCACGGGTCACGGCAGCTACAGCCACAATGCCCACCACACGCTGGGTCAGCAATGCAGCATAGCGTAGAGGTTGGCAAATGGCCACATAGCGGTCCACCGCCATGGCCAGCAGCACTGAGGACTCTGCAATAAAAGCCACGTGGGCAACAAAAAGCTGGGCCAGGCAGGCCCCAAAGGATATCTCACCAGACAGACCCCAAAGCACTGCCAATGCTTTTGGCACGGTGGATGTGGCAAGAATCAAGTCAGTAACTGCCAGAAGCCCCAGCAGCTGGTACATGGGTGACTGAAGTGCCTTGTCAGCTGCCACCAGGCCTAGCAGAAGGGCATTGCCTGCCAATGCTGTCATGTATAGCAGACACACAGGCACTGACAGCCAGGCATGCAGAGGCTCCAGTCCTGGCACTCCCAGCAAGACAAAGGACCCAGGCCCAGCGGGCCACACAGTATGGTTGAGAGCAGGCAGTGCAGGGTCCAGCTCCATCTCCTGGTCTCACCTGGCTCTGTGCCTGTAGGGCAGAAAAGATTCTGTGAGAGGCAACCCCAAACTCTCCTCAGTGAAGATAACATTCAAGGGTAAGGAGGCTGTGGCATTGGCTGAATTTCATCTCTGAGTTACGATAACTCCATTTATACTAGAGAAAAACTGTCTCAGAAGTTTTCAATGTTGATTTTTCAAAAGGAGATCACTAGGCTTTCCTTCCAAGGCCCCTCAGAGTGATCCCAAACCTCCAACTTAACAGTAATCACTTGCATGAAGCACATTGTTTATTTTGCCCAGGATCACATGAGTCAGAATCAATTTCACGGCAAATGATTTTTATCTTTGTGTCAGCCATTGTGCTAGAAATATAGGATATGTTGTTCTATAGATTCCACAATTGTCTTGTGGGCTTGTTATGATACATCTAAAAATTTGGTTTAAGAAGAGTTAAAAGATTTTCCCTAGGCTACACATCTGGTAAATAAAACACTGAAAATTTGAATTAAAAGCTATCTGACTAAAGATCATGCAGGGATCTCTGGTGGCTTATTATTATTGTTATTGTTAGGTCCGTTGAGTCAAGTACAAGTCATAGCGACCCTATGAACAACAGATCTGTGCTCCGTTGTATCCTCCACCATCCTCACACTTCCTTACACACAAGAGTCCATTGCAGCAGTCAATGGACTGTCAGTCCACCTGGTTGAGGGTCTTCCTCTCCTTCTCTGACCCTCTTCCTTACCACCATCATGTTCTTCTGCAAGGAATAGCCCCTCTGAGAAACATGACCAAAGTATGTGAGGCAAAGCCTCATCATCCTTGCCTCCAAAGAGCACTCAGGCTGCACACTCTCCAAGACTTAACTGTTTATTCTCATGCACGGGATGTTCCTTGCTCTTCTCCAACATCACAGCTCAGAGGTATCAATTCTTCTTGTCATTCTTATTCATTGTCCAGCTTGCAGATGCATAACAAGTGATAGGAAACACTATGGCCTGAATCAGACACACCTTAGTCCTCAAACTCATGATGCTATCTGGTGGCTTAGTGGTAAGGAATCATTTTGCCAACACAAAGGTTGTTGTGTTGTTGTTATGTGCCGTCAAGTCGCTTGCGACTCATAGAGACCCTATGTACAATGCAGGTTATATACCTGGATTTCACCTGATGGTATGCATAGGAATCAGATCGATTACATCTGGAAAGAACCTCTGGAGAAGCTCAATATCAGCTGTGAAAACTAGGCCAGGAGCTGATTGTCAAACAGACAACCAACTACTCATATGCAAATTGAAGCTGAAGCTGAGGGAAATTAAACCAAATCCGAGACAACCAAAATATGACTTTGAGTTTATCCCACCTGAATTTCAGAACCATCTCAGGAACAGGTTTGAGGCTTTGAACACAATATGAATCCACCAACTGCTCGTTAGGAGAAAGGTGGGCAGAAGGAGAATTGGTGCCTTTGAACTGTGGTGCTGGAGAAGAGTATTGAGAATAACATGGACTGCTAGGAAAACAAACAGATTCATCCTGGAAAGGGTTAAACTGGGTGGCTCTTTGGAGGCAAGGATTCTGAGGCTCCGTCTAACATACTTTGGACATGTCTGTGAGCGACCAAATTGAAAATAGCCACAATGACAGTGCAACTGGTTGCTGTGGTTGTTGTTAGGTGTCATCAAGTTGACCACAACTCATCGTGACCCGATAGATAATATATCTGAACCTTGACATATCATGCAGCATCTTCATGATCTCTGGTACATTCACGCCCCTTGTTACTCACTCTGTCAATGGTGACCAGGTTAAAATGGTAGTTGTGCAAAGAAGGAGGGTACTTAACTTGTCTAAGTAGATAAAGAAAAACCTAGAGACAGGATCCAGAGCTAGGGTGAAGGCTTCATGTTCCCCTAGAAGCTAATAGTATGTACTTAAACTCCATGAGAGAATATGGGATTCTCAGCTGATTCTGGAGACTGAAGTACCAGGGGCAAGTGGACGAGAAGAAAGTCTCTAACCCCAAGTGAAGCTATGATGCTGCCTGTGAAGCACCAGCCAATTCTGCAAACTATCTCCTATACCATCTCCTATAGAAAGCAGTCAAATAACTAGCCAAGTTTGACTTTCCCACAGGAAAGTTTTGTTGGCTTAGGAACCAGATCTTCTTCTGAAAGACTTGCCTAACCGTAGAGAATGTCTTTGCCTCTCACAATGGGGCCCTTCTAGTGTCTATGGACCCTGGGAACCTACACCCAGGGCCCAGCTCACCACAAAGCAAGCCTGGCCTTTATCGGGGAAAAAGGATAAAAATTCATTTTACCTAGATATATCTCTCCCCAAACCACAAAACAAGCACATTGTATACTCAGGAAGGGGCCCTCTAAGAAAGATTTGTATTCAGGGTGCAGGTCCTGCTACCACCCTTCCTCTTGGAGGGATTCCAAGGACAATCTCCCACCCCAATCATGTGCTTCTGTTCCTTCCACTTCCTCCTGTAGGCTTGTGAAAGTGAGAAAGAAGTGCTGCACTCTCCAGCCTCTGTCTCCACCCTGTATCCTAGTCTCACCTTCCACCCACCTGCCCTCTTTACCTCCCTAGCCATGTTTTCCTCAGTTCCCCTCATCTGCAGGCCTCCCTTCAGCAATAAGTCAGAGATGACAAGGACGGCACAGGATCAGGGTTCAGAACTGTACTTTACAGGTTCGCTATGACTCACATTCGACTCCATGGCATCTAAACAGAACCAAAACAGGTCTTTCACAATGCAGCTGACTTGGCAACTCCGGCGTTCAGGAAGAAGCCCGAGGAGTGGCAAATGCAGTGGGCTCTCTGTTCTTTTCTTTCTGTAGTTGTAGATTGTGATATTGACACATATCCTTGATCATACTGCTACCATGGTCTCAAGCCACTTTGGGCCCCATTCTAGGACCAGGAGACTCATGTACAGAAAGGATTTCACCCTTGCAGGCTCATGGAGTCAGAGCTAAGGACAAGAGTTCCTACATCCCAACCAGAGCTGTTTCCTCTCACTTAGCAATAAGTTTCTTCGTGACTAGATAAGTGCTACTACTAGAGACCCTGCTACTCACACATTCTATAGCTCCATATGATCCTGACAGTGTCTCATTCTGAGTCCATTCACAAACCCACAGCCCTTTCCTGATGTATGTAGTTGGGAGCACAGGTCGTTCAGAGGCCTGCACAAGCCAGTTGAAAATAGAGTCTTATCACTCACCATCTGCTCTTCCCCACATCATGGACTTCCAGGCCAGTGCTCACACCAAAGCCATTCTCCTCCTTTGTGTGCTGAACCTGCTCAGAATGACCCTGGCTTCTAGCCTGGAACTTGTGGTGGTTCACATTCTGTGACCTGCCTAAGAAACTGTGAAGGTCAAGATGTGCTTTCAAAAGAACATTTTAAGTGTAGTTGGAAGCATTTAGGGAAAGCCAAAGATGTCATTAATTGATTGACATCAACTATTTATTAGGATGAGTGAGGGAAGGACAATATGGGTTGACTGGAAGATCCAATATTGTGTATCTTATAATTAATGTCATGAAACAAAATATACATGGATGATTGGTTTAAAAAAAACAAAACAAAACACCCCAATATGCTTCGTAAACTTTCATTCAAATTATGATTTCTAAGAAGTTAAGAAAAAAATAAAAGAGCTCAGAAGAGTTAGGTAGACATCTCAGGTTTGCTATATGTTTTGGGGTATCTTGATTAGTCACTTTTAACTATGGTTTGGTAAGCATGGTTTCTACCTGATTTTGTTCCCTAGCAGGTGGTAAGGACAAAGGAACATATGACTCCATGTCACATCTGTCTTGCTCTTCTTTATTCCCTCTGTGTGACTTTGGAGAAGTTACTCAACTTTTTTGTGCCTTCATTTCCTTAGCTCTAAGTTGAGGAATAATAATAAACACACTTACTTTATAGGCATACTGTAAGGATCATATAATGTGTAAATAAACTAAGTTATAGCAATACCTAAAACACAGGAAAGCTCCAAGCATGTTACGTTACTGTCATTTTTATCACTGTTTTTACTCATTACACTCTATTTCTCCTGAATTGTTTCCCACTGCATTCTGATCATTAGTGTTTTAATATACAACCTACTTTTATATAAAAGGATAACTTGAAAACTGAACCAAGGATACTTGAAACCAGAATGTCGCCAACTTCAGAATAAAATTGTCTGAGGCTGTCCATAAGATTCAGACTATAATAAAGAAAGAATTTCCTTTGCCTTCAGAACCAAGAGAAGGAGATTAGATACAAAATCATTTCTAAGTTACAGATGTGAAATTTCCAAGTAGCATAATGGAAAATTTGGTGGTATTTGTCTTTTAATTCCTTCTCTTGAACTCCCAACCTCCACTGTCCACACCATTCTAACCCTGGATTGGAGAGAGGAAAACAAGAATGATAATGCCCTCTGCCCTAGCTCTTAAAGCCCACAAACATACTGGCCCTCCACTGTGTACTCTCTTTTGTGTCCTAAAAGTTTTCCTCTGAAAAAAAAAGTGAGTGATCTCTGTATATCAGAGCATAAAGGCCGTCTGGGGCATCTCTTCAGAAACCAATCCTTTTAGTAAATCATGCGTAATCTAGGCAGGGGACAGAGGCATCCTTTCAGAAATGATGAGAATATGACTGTATGTCATATATACCTTGCCTGAGGGATTCCTACTGCTGATGGTCAGCTGCTTCTCACCTCTGCTGTGAAGGTAGGATTAAGAACATACAATGTACATCCAGCCTTTCTGCACCTGGTTTTGCTTCAATCTCTGCTGTTCCAGGTTGACCATTCAGCAGTCAGTGCACCAAGTACCTCAGAGTTCTGATGATGCCTCTGTGATGAGCCTGAGAGAGAGCATGTGTGGGTGAAAAGAATTTATGGGTCTCTTTTCTGAACCCCTGGAGGAACTGAGGGATATGGACCTTGGGACCCTGGTGAGACTGAGGACCTCAGAGTCTCAGCTGTGAACTGCTAATGAGGGATTAGCAGAGCCACAGTTTTCTCCTCTGACTTTCCTAGCTGCCAGGTTAATGTGCCTAGCATACTCAAGATCTGAGAAAGGCTAGAGACTGAGCAGGAAGGATTCATGGGATGCCAGACGCAAAGAATCACTGAAAGGGATAACAATAGACTGAGAGAGAGACGTGCTTCATTCTTTACTAATGACAGACTCATTTGGCACTCAAAAGATGGCAGCATTCTTAATGTTGCTTCTGTTACATCAGCAAAGAAATTTGATGAAAAAGATTCCAAACTTAATCATGCAGATCTGAGTTTGAATAAGACTATACTACTATGTGGCCTTGATCAAGTTTCTTTTTTCCCCTTTTTTTAATTATTATTAAATTTTATTAATTTTAATGAACATTTACAGAGATTTTGGGTTTCATTCATTCATGCATCTAAATTCCAAAATCAATCTCCATAATAATCTATGTGTTTCCTACTGCCAAAGGGGCCCTTTAGAGTAGTGAGAGAAGATCTTCACCCTGAAACCCACAGTGTCCCTTTTCAGCAGGAAGTAGCTAAGAGAATACACCATCCCCTTTTCCTTATGAATCAGGGTGAAGTCTCTCTCAGGGAGGCGTGATAGGGAATGGCAAAGGACACACTGACAAAGGAGATTAATCAGAACTGGCTTTGACAAGCACTGTGGCAATTGGACAATTAAAACAGACTTTCAAGTGGGGGGAAAAAAAGAAGAACAAAAAAAAAAAGAAGAATGAACTGGGGAGGAGGGTAGAGAAAATAGTGATCAAGTTTCTTAACGTAACTCTCTTTTCCCTTTATATGACGAAGAGTAGTAAATTTTCACACAGGTATTTGTTGTTGTTTGCTTTTGTTATGTGCTATAGAGTTGCTTGTGACTCATAGTGACCCTATGTATGATAGCCCTGAACCCTGCTTTATCCTGTGCCAATTTTATCATCTCTGACACACTTACCTCCATTACCTCAGTCACTGAATCAATCCATCTCATCGAGAGTCTTCTTCTCTTGCACTGTTCCTCCACACTTCAAAGCACGATGTCCTTCCCTCGCCAAGGACTGGTCCTTTCTTACCTAAAGTATGTCAGAGGAAGCCTCAGAATCCTTGCCTCGAAGGACCAGCCTGGTTTCACCCTCTCTAGGAGGAACCGGTTTGTTCTCCTAGAAGTCCGTGGTATTCAATACTCTTCTCCAGCACCGCAGCTCAAAGACATTAATTCTCTTTCTATCTTCCCCAGTCATTTCCCAGCTTTCTGATACATAGAAAGTACACCTTAGTCTCCAGACTGACATCATTGCTCTTACTTACTCTGGGGAGGTCTCTGACAGCAGACTTTCCCAGTGCAATTTGTCTTTTGAGTCCGGCCTGCTGGTACCAAGCGTGTTGATTGTGTAGCCAAACAAACTAAAGCTATGAACAATCTCAATCTCTATCATGATGCTGCCAAATTGGCCCAGTGATTGTTTTCTTGATTTTGAACTTCAAATGTAAGAGGTACATTTATGTCACACTAGTCAGTGTGCTCTGGATATAACTGAAATTCAGGAGAATTAACATTATACAGTTTTATAACATGGAGTCAGTCTGACTGTCTGAGACAGCTACTAGACCCATATGAAGTGACTATTGTATCTTTACACGGATATTACTAGTTTCACAACGTTTCCTCTACCTGAAAAAATATACCTCCACCCATTCAGAGGAACAGAGTGAATGTAGTAATGGTAAACATTTCACAATATGTCACCACCAGTCTATATTTGATTTAAAACCCCAGTTTAATTGAAATTTACAAAGTAAAACTTAAAAAACATTCTATCAGAATATTATGTAATAATATGCCAGGTATTATTTTAGAATAATTATATAATCCCCTTCCACATTGGGATTGTTTCTTGTGGGGTTGTGTGAGTGGATGTGCGTGAGTATGTAATTGTAAACCTAATAGGAACAGTTACTCTTAACATCCTACCCAAATCATTGTAATGCTTAAGATTTAAATGCTCTCTGTAAATGGTCTATGGATGTGGTTTATTCTTTCTGCTAAACTATGTTTCTTGAGTTCGCAGTGCATATTCTCATTCCATATCTCTACTCGTAGTTTGTGTGCATCATCATAATGTTATTAGACTAGAATTATAGTATGAAAATCTTAAGTATTTTAATACTGAAAATTTAATATAGTAGATATGGGTATAAAATCTTATAAGACAACAGGAAGTAGAATCACAGAAGACCTGAAGAATGGTTAGCTGTAAAATGTGTGAAAGAAGAATGTAGTAGATACATTGATACATTGATTCTTACTTTAGTACAATATCCTAAGGATAGGAAGAGAGTCAGAACTCTTCACACATGAGGTCTTAAAATCTCATGTGTAAAAAAAAAAAAAATTAAATCTCATGGGTAAAAATGGAAATCTACAAAGAAAAATAAAACTATAGGAGGCAAAATAAGGCAGTTTATACTTGGAAAAGTTACCTAACATTTTTTCCTTTTAATTTTTTTTTTTTTTCTCAAATAAGTGATTTAATCATAGGGAGCAAACTAAATGGAAAGCTTACAATAGAGAAGAATTTGCCTTTTGCAAACCAACAAGGGACAAAAATAAGGGCTGTTCCTCATCCTGATCCTCTCAAACAAAGAAGCCCACAATGGAATTCTGGCTCAGGGAAGGACAACCCAGCAGCTCTGTGCCCTGAGACTGCTTGCCTTCAACTCACTCCTGGCCAGCATCAGGAGACCCTCCATGCTGGTCCTTCTTTTTGTGGACTGAGACAATGTCATCAATTCAAAGCAGCAGGACTGCTGTCTTATATGTTTGTAGTTTCACAGCCAAAGGCTCCCAGACACCTAGTTCTTCCATGTCCACCAAAGTACCTATCTCACAATTCACACTCCAAGTCTCAGAGTTTCCCTGGGTGTGCCCGGCCTGAAGGGAGGTAAGTAGATGGATGGTGCTGGTCCCACAGTTCTGGATAAGGGTACGGGGATCACCTCTATGGCCTGGGAAACAGGGCCAGTATGGCCATTGTTCCACACTAGGATTTCTCTGTCAACACATGGGCCACAGCCATTTCAAAAGCCTCGCCTGCTGGCACCAGCTGAGCATCCACGAGGACACAGTGACACACTGACACAGCACCCTGAAAGTTGCGTTCTACTTCTGAAAGAATCTCTTTGCTGGCTCCTTGGAGAAGAATGGTGCAGGCCCTGAGATCTTTGCACTCAGTGATGACTTTAAAGTACTCATCTCCAATTTTCTTGATTTCCAACAGGCCTGCTCCTGTACCAACATCTTCTTCTCTCAGTTCCTCTGGTTGGCTAGCTATCTGGGTTCCACAGGCACGAACAACGTCATTATTGTCTGTTTTACAGACACTGCGAATGGCGGCAATATTAGCCCATAAGATAATGGCTAAACTAAATCTGCAATTCCCTTCTCTATGATGACCACGTCAGGTTTTAGGTGGATAATATCTTCACACAGTTGCTGGATGTACTCTTCTTCCATTTGGAGAATTCAGGTGGGAAAGGTATAAAGATCAGTGATGCACTTATTAAGTGATAGGTCACCAATTAGAGAGAGATGTAAAAAGGCAAATTTGTGAAGTTATGAATGTTAAGCTAATATCTGAATAGCAGTCTATAATAATTTGAAAATATTTATCTACAGTTTTTTCTTTTAACCCTAAAATTTAGCCAATGAGTAGGAAGTCAGCCATTATAATTTACTCAAAAAGTTATATATACAAACTAAGAGCTATATAAAAAGTCTTTAAAATTATAAAAACAACTCACTCCACTAGTGAAGATGGTCAGGAAAAGAATAAAAGACAACTGATAGGGTGTGAGAGAAGGAAAAGCAGAAAAGCTGGCAGTGCTGGAAACAGTATATTTATTATCCAGTAGACCATCATTCCACATCCTTTGCAGAAAACAAGAGAATGACCTTATCTCTGATCTGCTTTGTCTTTACTCCATAAACAATGGGATTGAGTGCAGGTGGGATAACAATGTAGAGGTTGGCAAACATGATGTGGAAAGTGAGAGAGACATTGTGTCCAAAGCGGTGAGCAAGGATGGAGAAAAAGGCAGGAGTATAAAACATGAGAATGACACAGACATGAGAACCACAAGTGCCAAGGGCCTTCTGGCGGGCATCTTTGGAAGGGAGACGAAAGACAGCACAAAGGATGAGGGTATAGGAAATGGCAATTAGAATTACATCGGAAATTACTGTCATAATAGGAACACAAAAGCCATACCAGATGTTGATGGAGATATCAGCACAAGCAAGCCTAGCAACACCTATATGCTCACAATATGTATGAGGGATGGTACGTGTCCTGCAGAAAGGCAGCCGTGTCAGCAAGAATACATCCGGCAAGATGATGCAGAAGCTTCTAAAGGAGATTCCCACAGCAATCTTGATGATAGTCTTGGGTGTCAGGATAGTGGTGTATCTCAGAGGGGAACATATGGCCACATAGCGGTCAAATGCCATAGCCATCAAGATGGCTGAATCGAGGACAAAGCTGTAGTGAAGGAAGAACATCTGGGTAAGGCATCCTGGGAAGGTGATTTCTCGGGCTTCCAGCCAAAAGATACTGAGTGTTTTAGGCACACCAGCTGTGGACAAGATGAGATCGGTCGTGGCAAGCATGGAGAGAAAGAAGAACATGGGCTCATGAAGACTGCGCTCCACGGCGATGAGGTAAAGAAGGAGGCAGTTTCCTATGACACCTACAATGTAGACACAACAGAAGGGAATGCCGATCCACACGTGGAACTTCTCCAAGCCTGGAATGCCCACCAGAATGAAGGGCCCTGGGTTGTAGCTGCTCAGGTTGAAAGTGACCATTGCAAACTGGGATAGTCCAGTTCTGAAGAAAGAAGGTTATAGAGGACAGTTAGAATCATATGAATTATTTTCACTTTGTATAAGTCATTATAACTGATTCCCAAAATAAAGTTATCATTAATTTACCATTGAAAACAAAAGACATTTGAGAGTAAAAAAAGATTTATATTAACAATGTTGCTAGAAAGTACCCGTAAACCAGAACTGTTTTGTAAAATAGTCAATGTTGTTGTTGTTGTTGTTATGAGGCATCAAGTCGCTTGCGACTCATAGCGACCCTATGTACAACAGCCCTAAACTCCGCTCTCTCCTGTGCCAATCACTCTGTCTCTGACACTCCCATCCCAATTATCCTAGTCACTGAATCAATCCACCTCATAGAGGGCCTTCCTCTCCTGCGCCGTCCCTCCACCCTCCCAAGCATGATGTCCCTCTCCAAGGACCGGTCTCTCCTCACAACATGTCCAAAGTAAGTTAGACGGAGCCTCAGAATCCTTGCCTCCAAGGAGCCACCTGGTTTAACCCTCTCCAGGACAAATCTGTTTGTTTTCCTAGCAGTCCATGGTATTCTCAATACTCTTCTCCAGCACCACAGCTCAAAGGCATCAATTCTCCTTCTATCCTCCTTGGTCATTGTCCAACTCTCTGATGCATAACAAGTGATTGCGAAGACTATGGCTTGTATCAGATGGACCTTCGTCTCCTGAGAGACACCATTGCTCTTCAGTACTTTGGAGAGGTCCCTCTGCAGCAGGCGCTTCAGGTCCTCTTCAGTTTCAGCAAGCAGGGTTGTGTCATCCACATAACACAGATTGTTGATAAATCATCCACCAATCTTGACCCCACATTTCTCCTCATAGAGCCCAGCCTCCCGGATAATCTGTTCTGCATATGGGTTGAAAAGGTATGGAGATAGGACCTATATGCAGAACAGAAAATAGTCAATAGGGACTCTAAATAATTGTAAATTAGAAATTGTAAATAGGGAATCTAATTTTGTCAAGTATATATAGGCTGCACAATTTTTCCTGGAGTCTTCTACACTGCCTTAAATACCTTTTTCATTATACACTATTGCTAAATATGAATTGTAAAATGTAGGTGTCTAAATATGAGAAAATGGCACATAGGACCCAGGACCTTGCCAGAGGGAGTAAGAATGGCACAGCCCGTCACTGCCCCAGAACAGAAAGCAGACAAAGATCCAGTAGCCCAAGACTATGGTGCCTCTACAGCCATGACAGCAGCAGCAAGAGGTTTTTTATGTGTTGCTAACTCACAGACTCGCAGTTATGGTACCCACAATGAGGTTTATTAGGGAAGGAAATTGGAGAGTGGGGGAGGCGAAGAGTACCAATGCAAATCGAAGTTTTATCCTGACAGTCCCAAGACACAATTCCTCAATTAGTCCAGTCTCCCTCCAGTTTCAGTTTTCAGCAGTCTAATCCAAATCATCAAGCAAGATTTGCCTCAAAGTAGTTATAAGTCAGCTTCTCCTTCAAAGATCAGCAAGAACAGCAAAACCTTTAACTATGGCCAGTATAAATGCAAGAAGCCTCAGGTAACACCTTGCCACAGTTTCTCCACAGCAATGCCAGACTCCCCACCATTCACCAGGGTCTCATGAGCATGGTCTCGCTCAAGGCTTGCTGCCGCAAATCTTGGTCATTTCAACTTTTGCCAGTGTGGGAAGCACTGTTCCGCATAGTCTAGTCCCACAGCTGCTAATGATTTGCAAGACCATGTGTCTGTAGTTAAGGTAGATGGAGACCAGAGGGGGCTAAATTAACGGCTTAGAAAAGACAGCTTTTAGGCTAACACCACAGCAGGACACACTTTTGAGTTAGTAGACTAGAGTCTATGTGTTTAGCATTTGTAAGATTTTCTTTGTCATTATGCAATATCCCTCTCTGTCTCAAGTGTTAAGTCTAGCACACAAGATTTCACTTCCTTCCAGTTTAACTGTGACTATTTCTCTTGGATTTTTTGAGCAATTCCAGGTAACTGTATTGTCAGTCAAAAACTTAATTCCATGAAATAGCCTCTAGCTGTGTTTATACAGTATTATAGGGGTCATTTATAACTCAAATTGGAAACAGCAAATGTATTTGAAACTGAAACACTTAGGTCCTTGCACCTCTAAAGAAATAGTCTCTAGCACCTGGATCATAAATTTATTATGCTAATAAAGATCTCTAATGGCTTAAAGGTAAGGAATCACACTGCCAACCCAATGGTATGACGTTCAAATCCACCAGCTGATCCATGGGAGAAAGATGAACAATCTTCTCATGAATGATTTACAGCTTTTGCAAACCTCCTGGAGGGTGAGCCATGAGTCATATACATCTCAGCAGCACACAACAACAACAATATCCTAATACTTTTTTTACTAACATAATTAATCAAGATTTGTCTACCTTTAGTGTTTTGTTTCTTTATGAACATATATTCTCTTAGATAGTAGTATAGACTTCAAGACACAGACTCTTCCAAATGCAAACACTCTTAAATTTTATAATCTTAGACATGCCATATTGACACATTCTCTCATGCACTAAATCCATATAATCTTACACATATATGAAGCAATCTTCTCCTCCCTTTATCATGTTCATGCATGCACACATAGAGTGACTAGTGTGTGTTTAGAGGGCAGAGACTATCAGGAGGATTGTTGTTGTTGTTGTTACTATGTGCCATACAGTCACTTACATAGCAATCAGATAATTTACTGCCACATGCTTTGTAAATCAGTAAAATAACTAGTCTGTCCTTTAAATGTTAGGTCCTATGTTAGCTTTCTTCTCCAATATGAAATACATCAATACTGCACAGATAGCCAGTGAGGCCAAGGATTCCCAGTATCATCACTAAGTTTAGATATGTGATGGTCTTATACCTGGATTCTTATCATGAAAAGGCCGGAAACCATGGCCAGCCTACCCACTCTCTTATATTGTTATTTTCATTCTCAGTTTTAAGTCCAAATCATAGCACCTTGCATCCCACAGACCAAGGTTGAATTTCTCTTCCCTTCTGTATACGACAAAAGAGAAACCATTTGTTTCCCTAAGATTTTCTTTATCTATGATCTCAGAACACTTAATTGTGCTCATATATTTCATTGGCTATAAAAAGGTATTTGATTGGTGGATCACAATAAATTGTGGCTAACTTTGGGAAGAATGGGAATCCCAGAACACTTGACTGTGCTTATGCAAAACCTATACTTGGACAAAATAGCAGTCATCAGAACAGAACAAGAAAACACTGCATGGTACAAAATCAGGAAAAGTGTGCCTCAGCAATGCCTCCTATTTCCATACCTTTTTAATCTATATGTGTAACAGATCACTTGGGAGTCTGGACTTTTTGAAGAGTAATGTGGCATCAGGATTTGAGCAAGACTCATCAATAACCTGTATTATGTAGATGGCACACCATGTTTGCTAAAACTGAGGAGGGCTTGAAGCATCTACTATAGGTCAAGGACTACAGTCTGAAATATGGAATGAGGCTCAACATTAAGAAGACAAAGATTCTTACCACTGGGCCAATTGCAGCCCCACGAGAGATGGAGGAGAAATTGAGATTGCTAACAATTTCTGCTTGTTCAATTCCACAAACAAGTCTTGAAAGCAGCACTCAGGAAATCAAAACACAAATTGCATTAGGAAAGTCTGCTGTCAGGAATGTGTCCAGAGTATAGAAGAGCAATGATGTCAGTCTAGAGACTAAGGTGCCCCTAACACAGGCTGTGGTCATTGCAATTACTTGCTAAGCATCAGAGAGCTGGACAATGAACAAGCATGACAGAAGAAAAATCAATGCCTTTGAGTTCTGGTGCTGGAAAAGAATATTGAACATACCATAGACTGCCAAGAGAACTAAAATGTCTGTCCTAAAGTGGAAAAAGCCAAGCTTCTCCTAGGAGGCAGAGATTTCGAAGCTCTGTCGCACATCTTTTGTGCATATTGCAAGAGGGACCAGTCCTTGGAAAGGACATCATGCTTGGAATTGTGGAGGGACAGTACAGAAAAGAAGACCCTGGATGAGATGGATTGACACAGTAGCTGAGGTAATGAGGGTAAGGTGTGTCAGAGGCAGTGAGAATGGAACAGGATAGAATAGAGTTTACAGCTATTGTGTGTAGGCTTGCTATGAGTCAGAATCAATTTGATGGCACATAATGACAACACCATCTATACACATACGCACAGAGATGTCTATAGTGGTGGCGTTGGTGGTGTTGTGTGCCATTGAGTCACCTGTGATTCATAGAGACCTTATGCACAATCGATCTGAATGCTGATATCTTTGATATCATTAACAGTCAGATTACACAGAGAAGAAAATAGCAAAAGAAGAAACAGAAAGATACTAAAACTAACAAGGGTGCCCATGATATTACATACATATTCCTACACTTAATTCTGCATCTTGTTTTAGGCTTATAAATTTTTATCACAAATCTGACACAGAAATTGCTTAGAAAACACTATCTGTGACTATATTTAACTCACTTGTGTATTTATATTTCTGTGTTAGTCTTTTACAGCTAATTCTGTGAAGTATGTAACCAATTATCAAAGATCATGCCTCACTTGATAAATTGGAGTATCTGAGTAGAGAGGAACCAGTTCATAGTCCCTAAAAGTCCTGGACTCTACAATTACTTCTTATTTAGCTCCAAATCCCTTCAAGCAGCCAATACTTACCTAATTTTGAGAACAGATTCAAAAGGAAAGAAGAAAGACTGTCCTGACAGACTCACAGCAAATATCTAAAAGAGGCAGGCATGCCAACCAGATGAATGATTACAGGAGGAAGAAAGGGTCTGGTAGATTGGCTCTCCCTCCTTCCCTTTATTTTCTCCAGCTGTTGTTCAGTGTGGAATGCCAGTGGATAGAGCCTTGAGGGGCCTTTACAGGACTCTCCTAACCCTCTAGGGAAGAAGATGAAATTACTTCTGTTAACTCTACCTATGCCTGTGAGTG